CTGTCTTGTGGTATGTTTCAAAAACTTAGAAAAGCACAAAATCTGATTTTTTTTACAGTTTTTTTTGTCTTGTCAGGTTAATGAATATGGATTAAAGCAAATTAAATATGCATTCTTAAGTGTAATGGTAAATTCGCCATTTATTTAGCTGTCACAAATTACTACTGATGCAGTCATCTCTGGGGGTTGTTTTAGCCTCTTTGAGCTCATTGTTTTGGTGTTGTCACTTGAAACTGACCTATTTTGCTTTCCTTAATAAAATTTGCAGCAACTAGCTGGTGGAGAACAGAACTAGAAAACTTTCTCTATTAGAAGACGTAATAAACACCAGATGAGGTGTAAACTTGAGATTCCAATAAGAATATGCTTTGTGTCTACCAATAAGTTTTGGGGGAATAGACCAAAACCAATATAACCTGTGAGTCGATTGTTTACAGTATCCTGTGCACTGAGGTTAAATTAGGGTTCGCTGTGGTTCCGTTCAACGCGACAGGAAGGAAGCTACACAGAGCATTTCTTCTCAGCCTCCTGATACGAGAGAAAACAAACGTCTCCCCTGTAGTACATCCTGGGTTCCTTGGTAATGACGCTTCAGGACACACTGATTGTAAACTACCTTGTTGGCAGTGAAAAACTGAATTTTACAGGAAAAGATGATAATCAGCTGTTGATTTGTCACCTATCAACATCAAAATCTCTTATTTGTGATGAAAATGTGAATGGTACTGATGTAAATATGAAATTCGTGAATTCCCTTTAGCTGCACTTGTTTGATGTTTCTTTCGTCATAATGGCTTCAGTATTGTCTAAGTGAGTTAAAGGTTAAGCTGTATGCCAAAGCCTTTCTCCTGATGTGACGTGTTAACCTCATAGAAACAACAGCGTCCATAACTATCTGTAGGCTCTGTCATTTTGGGCCTGCATTTTAGCCAGTGGTGATGAGCAATTTGTCAAATTGGCTTATGACATTTGCACTGTACTATATTAATTCTCCATTCTTAGTTCTTCTTGCAGCTTTTGGAGAGTTTTTTTGAGTAGCACAGAGCACACTGATATGGATTTTTCAGTGTGCACCATCTGACTCCTTTTAGAAACTGTAGGTTATTTCTTATGTTTGTATGAAGTGCTACTGAGCAAAAGGCCGAAAATTGCAAGAACCACTCTGTTTTGAAAGATTTAAAATATTCAGCAAAAATTTTACTTTCTTGCCGCCAGCTTATTGACACCTTGAGATAATTCAGTTTCACATGTGTCAGAACTGTACGTCATACGTTGAATAGGCAGAAATATGTCAGGAGATGACATAGTGACTTTACCATTGACCAAAAACGGATGATAATCTGTTTTTGGTGGTGAGGAAATGTCATACTGATAAGAAATCAAATTAACAGATTTCAAGTAAATTGCCTTATGACAATGTATTTAGCTATAGTGAAACTAAACTAAGCTTCTCTTGAGAGTGGTTAAGCCTTTACTTGGAAAAGATCACCTGGAGAATCATTGAAACCACACAAATATCAAACATATAGATTAAAGGGAACAAAATGATTTATGATTTGGTATAATACATGTAAAAGACTTTCTGCAGGATGGTTCTATGTACCTTTTTTACTCAGAAATTGTAAGTAATCAATAACAAACTACTGCACTATTCCAAAGTGTTTGGGACAAACACCGTGGCCACTTACTCAACCTACGTTGCTCAACAATATTCAAGTCACTACATTTCCCCTGTTGTGCAACTGGTCAGTCCTGATTTTGTCCATATCATGTGCAGAAACCTGACCTACAGGAATACTGAATAAAAGTTGTTTTTCTTTGTTCAGCAGCGACAGTGTTAAGGCAACGCAGCCAAGCTTGAACTTAGCATAGAACAGGGATGGAAAATAGGGAAGATTGTTAGCCTGGTTTTGTCAAAATGTGACAAAACACCACCACAACTAAAAATACAATCTCTACAAGTCTGCAAAAATGTTGTTATCTTTAGACATGAACCATGTCTGATTCGAGTCTTTTAAGTTAAGCTAAACTAGCTAAACCAATCTTAACGGTTAAATAAAAATAAATGTCTTCGACAGAAAAAATGAGACTTTGCCCAAATAGGGGAGATCATTTAAGTATAACATTCATTTTAACATTTATGTGATAATATGCCACACTACTGTTAAGCTGAGAAATTCTCCTAAACCATTCACTCTTGTTAGCTTTTATGCTAAGCTAAGCTAGGCTCGCACTTTCTTTCCACTTCACTCCGCATGCGAGCCTTGTGCTTTGCGCTGGGAAGAGGGGGGAGGGGCAGTAGTTACACTCACAGTAGCACAGGAACAGAGCGGGAGGGAAAGAGAGAGAAAGAGAGCCAGGGACAACAATGTCACATTAGAAAGGTAATCATCCACAACTATTTTTAGTTGAGGATGATAAAGGATTCAGAAAGTTTATTCATGCAGGCTCATATGACAGAGAATGTACATCTTCTTTTTGTTTTCATATTTTAATTTATATTTAATTGTGTTGTGGTTTGCAGTGTTTTGTGTTGTTTCACTTTAAATTTGTTTAAAAGGAAAAATTTAAATAGTTAAAAGTTGAAATGTGAATAGTTGTTTTTTGTATTATAGGATTTATTTATTAAATTTTATGTGGAGTGAATAAATAAAAGTATATTTACGTTGCCCCTAGAGACAAAGCACCTACAAACTCCGAAGCAGATAAAAACTCCGGAGCACGTATAAACTCCAAAACACGTAAAAACTCAGAAGCACGTAAAAAACTCCAAAACACGTACAAAAGACAACAGAAGTGCTCCAGGATGCTAGGCGCAGTGTTGAGCTTTTGTTAACTACTGGCTACAAAAGCCATTCAAGTACCAGCGACCGGATTTGGTGTGTGTTAGTAACAGGTAAATGAACTTTTTTTTTTAAATTATTTGAATATAAATGAGTGCATGTGTATAAATACACAAACAATTTAATTTAAATGATCTAGGTAGCTCTGTTTTGGAAGTTCAGTTAACGCTAGAAATGTGTTTTGGATTTTGTACGTGCTTTTTTGGAGTTTGTATGTGCTTTGTCTCTAGGGGCCACCGCATATATTTATATATAAACATATATAAATAAAACCACTTTTTTTTTTTTACATTAGTAATTCCTTTTATATTGTTGTTAATAATAAATTAATTAAAGCAAAACAACCTAAAGAGCCGGTTCAGAGCCGAAAGAGCTGGATCTTTTTAGTGAGCCGAGCCAAAAGAGCCAGTTCTCTAAAAAGAGCCGGAAATCCCATCACTACTAAATATCAACATGAGGATGGACTCGGTCTAAATTGAAAGTTAAGAGTCATGTGCTTCAGTCTACTTATTGTTTTGTTGTTGAGACACTAATTATAAAGGAAAACATCCTCTGACAGGCTATCGACCCCTCATTATTGTCTCAAGAAAAATCACAGTGCCACACCCTGTTCATTAAATTTTTATATCTACACTATTAACTGATGTTTAATCTGGGAATTTAGCTTTAACACAGCTATTCAAATTGGGTTATTTAAACTATATTAAGGTTTTTATTTATCACATTATCACATTAAGGTAGCACTGGTGGATTTAAAATGTATTTCTTTCTGTCATGTCCAGTCACATCTATGCCTTCACACAATATCACGACCATCTATGAAATAATATGCCCATGACAATGCATAATGTTTGCAATGAGCTATAACATTTTACCATTTAAAATATTATAAATAAATAATAAACAATGACAAAAATATTTAGAAATGACCGACTTTGTTTATTAAGAATTGATCTCATAGAAAAAGTCAAAACAAATAATAAAAACAGCAAATCTTACAAAGTAGTCATCAGAATATACGTTTATATTTTAGACCATAAAGCTTTTGGAAGGCCTACAAACTTTGTCTAACATCAGCTTTGTGCCGTCAATGCTTTAACAAGATACTTTCAGTGATGTTTCAGAGAACATCGGCTGAATACATAAAACAATAAAACTGACATCTTTATCTATAAAACATCTGTTAGAAATGCTCTGAGAACTCTGAATACATGCAATCTCTGGTATGACATAGTCATTACAGAGGAAAGACACAGCTGAATGTGTTTCCTCCCACTTCCTCAATGGAAATTTCAGTACCTTGCCATTTCTTGAGTGTTTCGGCATTGGTATTGCTGTAACTCTCAACTATGGCTAACATGTATGTACAGAGTGCACTTAACAGTAAATGCTTTGGTACCAAATAAAAAAAAGAAAACAAAAATCAACAAAAAAGTATTGTACTATAATTCATATGTATGAAAATTTTACAAAGAGATCAATAGTAAAACAATAAGCAATATATTCCAGCATTACACATGTAATAGGTGGATTCACGGGTGGTAAGTCCAAACGGTGCAGAAACCAACAGTCCTGTCTGCCTCTTCATTCTGGTGCCAACTAAGAAAGGAGAGAGGGCCAGCGGCAGTCACCATTTTTAGATTCCACTGGAGGTTCGTTTTAGACGGGATGGATCGGGACTTAGCCCGGGGATGGGCAGAGCTCCTAACTCCGGCCGCCACAGTGTTGTGCTTCACACGCGTAGCCATAATCTCGGCGTCCCGGGGACATAAGGCACCACCCCGCTGCCTCTCAATCCCCTGCCGTGGGCCTCTCGGCGAGGAGCTACCTCCCGTCAACACCAACACGGACCTCTCTGCTCAGCCCCGATCACTCTCTCCAGTGCGCGGTCATCCGCGATCTTCGGTCTCGTTCTCCTTTGCCGCACGCCTCGGGCCTCTGTGCCGCTCTGCGCGGCCGTCGCCCACACTGGTTACCACACCATGTCTCTCCCCTTCTCTCTCTCACGCTCTCTCTTATTAAATAGCTGTTGCCAACCCCAGGTGTGCCAGGTTAATGATCAGGAGGGGCGGTGGAATGGGCATCCTCCCAGAACAAATCACATAACAAAACAAAAGCATGCAAAAACCCAACAAAATAAAACACTACGCGCTAAAAAAATATCAAAGAATAAAACACATCACTACATGCAAGAAAATAAAAATACCAAGTTAAACTTTGTCCATTCCACTTTATGACATACAAAAACAATAAATTTACTCCTTTGTTTTCTCAAGATCCAAGAAACCTCAAACAAATCATGTTATGTTACAGTATATTGGTAGTAATTCTAACTTTACAAAAAAATATTCAAGAAAGAAAGTAGTACATTCACTTCTTCAAAGGCATAACTTTGGCTTGGAAGCCAACGCTACTGTTTTTTTCCTTTTATAGTCATTAAAAACATGGATCGTCCACTTAAAGATCCTACCCCCTAAAGAGACCAGATGAATCACTTCAACTGACTAGTATGGCGAACACCAGCAGCTGAAAGCTGAACCCCCACAAATAAAAGGCTTGATAGACAAGCAACAACAAATCACAGGTTACAAGTTGGGGCTGAACTTTACAGAATCCCACTGTACAGAATTATGAAACAATGCATCACCAATTTAAATAGGACAAGGACTGGGAATAGCTTGTCTCCAGTTTTTCAAGAAACTAAATTTACCTGATAATGTTGATGACTAACTGGAAGTAAAGACCAACCACAAGGTACCATGTTGTTAGAATCAGAATCAGGAAGTACTCTTGCTAACCAATCAAGTGATCAGTAACCAGTTCTATCTCTGCGAAACATTGCCTAAGGCTGACTGACTGTCAATCATTTTGGTCCCACTGAGGTAACAACCCAAGCAAAGGCCTACTGAGCATAGCAGGGCCAGCGTGAGTAAAGAAATTTCTGCTCTCCTTTGAGCTGCTACTGTTTAAAAAGAAGAATTTGAGCAGCTTTCAGTCATTTTGATTCATCCAGTCCTCCAAAGTTGCATAGTGGGCTTCTGCAGTCGTGCCGTTGTTTACGTAAGGACTATGGAGATTTTTGATGGCAGTACCGTCTGGCCGCATTGGATCTCTGTTGGTGCCATTGCTCATTGGACGGGGCAGCAGGTTAGTATACGTATTTCCTTGACTTTCTCTTGGGGACTGCATGAGGGGAGTATGGCTCTCTTGTCCCACTGAGATCTGGGACTCCTGTTTCAACTGGAAGCACGGCTGAGGTGCTCCCGCCATGTTCTTCAGAAAATCATTCTCTTCTATTCCCTCTAAGAAAGGGAACGACCCTACCCCCTGTGATCCCCCTCCACCTCCAGATCCATTAAAGGGGTTCGGAACTGAACCCATGGTAGTAAAATTGGACCACTGAATACCTTGGTTCTGGCTGACCAGATGGTTCTGAGCTTGGTTTGGAGTTTCTGATCGGAGCTCCTCCCTTTGATTCTGCTGGTGGAAGAGCTGCTCTGGTTCTCTCATTACAGGGGCTTGAGAACCTGTATCCAAGCACTGCAGGTCCCGCATGGAGAGCTGAGGGAGGGCATTGTTCTCACAGCTGTTGTGGTCCACACGGTGTTGGTAGCTGCGGTTCGGTGGCTGTTGCCTGCTAACAGGACGTGGCAGATTGCTGGCACCTGGGTTTATGGTGACTGTGTCCATAGAGAGCGTTGGATTGGAATTCGCCCATGCATGGCTTAATTGTAGATTGGGTGCCATTAGATTCTGAGGAGCCTGTTGATAGGCTTGGGTGAACATAGAAGGTTGCTGTTGTTGTCTTGGGTATGCATTGCCCATGTCTGTAAAAAAGAAAAGACTTTTAGTTTCACAGCATTGAAGTATATTGCCATCCTCCTTTTTATGATGACTTCAAACGTAGTTACCTCTTTTCAGGTGACTCATGGTACTCTGTGGTACTGCCTTGGGCCTATTCATTGTCAGACCGCTAAAAGGACCACCTAAAAAGAGACGGGAAACCTTAGCTGCGATGCAAACCTGTGCAATCACAAGTAATCATATCACATGAGGTGTACTATATATAAAGTGCCACATTGCTTACCTGACAATCCCGATATCTTCATCAAGTGCTCTCTTCTGCGCTTTTTCTCATTGTATCCATAAGGATCTGATGGAAAAACAACAATATTAACATTACGTGAGTCTAACCGAGAACTAGGTGCCACTAGTAAGCCCCCGCAGAAATAAAGCGATTGCTGCTCACCTTTGTCATCAGGCAGATACCGGAAATCCATTGGTTCACTGACTTCCTGATCAGAGGGCCGGCGTAGCTGCATGTGCACGGTCACCGAGTCCGTTATGGACGTGTTGTGGTAGGGCGGAGTCTTGAACACAATGGCAACTTGGCGATGAACATCAGCCTGAGAAAAGGAGCCTTTGGCCTCCCAGCCATCAGGGGAGAAGAACCGCACCTCAATGTCATCTGGAGCAATACAGGAACAGAAAAGTACATCAGCATGCAAAGAGACAGGCACTATGGGTGTGGGAGGTAAACTAGATCAGTGGACTGAATAAAGATGAAGAAAGAGAAAACAGATGCAAATAAATTTAGTACAGTGTGCAAAAATGCAAAGGTCTATAGTGCAGAACATTTTGATGTACCTTTTTGTACTTTGTCACACAGTAGGAAGATTTCGTCTCCTCCTCTGACACTTCCGCTATTTCTGTTGACCCGGCAGATCCTCAGCTCTGCAGTGTTTGGGGCCCCTGGTAATACAAAAAACAAGTTCTAAACACACAACGCAACAAATACTACAAGTTACAAGTTGCTCAGTACAAAAACAATATAACCAGGATCTGCTTTTTGTTGACACGGTGGGCCTAGCTTAAAAAGCTGCCTTGGTTTTGAAGAACAATCCTCATTCAGTTTACAGCTAAAGCTTCAGCAGGTTGAGTCACATGTCACATGCCTGGAGCGAGAAGAGGAAGTGCTCCATGGTAACAGTGTTGTTTGAAGGTTGGTGTGTATAAAGAACTTCCCCTTTCTGTGTGTTTGTGTATGTGAGGAACAGTGAACTAGTTCACCAACTGCAACACTTGAAACACTAGTGGACACACGTACACGGGTCTTGCAAAAAGCACTTGCATTCACATATGCTGCAGCTGCTGGTACACACTGTATGTACAAACACGACTACATGTGTCACTTCTCAGTACTTACACAGTACTGTTATACTCACACAGGAAAGGGGATTAAGTATGTACTTAATCTTATATAATCACTTCTTGAAGTCTGCTGTTATCTGAACTCTACAGGTGTACAAAGCTGACCTTGGGGAGCCCGTGTACTTGTCAGGGCAACTATACGGCTATTTCATTATGTTCTCATGCAATTGCATGATGTGACGTCAGTGTATTTGACACAGACGGCGATCGGTCACTCACTGTTGTCGTAGATGGGGTTGGTGACGATGGGGTTAAGCGCTCGGGTGTAGTGGCCGTTCTCATCCTGCAGGAAAACCTGAATGCACAGGCGAACCACATTCAGGTCGTACTCCTCTGTCTGCAACAGCTGCTCCCGTGGCACTACGATAAAACACACATCAGTTAGATGAAGCTGGTAATAAAGCAAACATTCAGAAATATAAACTAAGAAACATTTACACCAGACTTTCCCTTTAAAGGGCCAGTGCAAGTATTATATTTATATTTATTTATATTATATTTATATTTATTATTATTTATAGGGCGACCGTGGCTCAGGGGGTTGGGAAGTGTATCTGTAACCGGAAGGTCGCTGGTTCAATCCCCGGGCTCTCTGTTCTGGTTGTTGTGTCCTTGGGCAAGACACTTTACTTGCCTACTGGTGTTGGCCAGATGGGCTGATGGCGCGATATGGCAGCCTCGCTTCTGTAAGTCTGCCCCAGGGCAGCTGTGGCTACAACTGTAGCTGCCTCCACCAGTGTTTGAATGTGAGAGTGAATGAATAGTGGCATTGTAAAGCGCTTTGGGTGCCTTGAAAAGCGCTATATAAATCCAATCCATTATTATTATTATTATTATTACCTGGTGGTTACTGTGGACCTAATTTGTAGAGACTGTTAGCACTCTTAGCACCTACCAGTTTACTGGCAAACCAGCAACATTTAGAGTTGCAGTTTGTTTAATGTCCAGCCTTTTCTTTTTTTTAAATATAATTTATATTTGTGTGGAGCACAGCTCTTAAGGATGGATGACACATAAATTGAAACGTAACATGTTCTAGTTTCTCTGACTTTGCCTATTTAGCATGGAGATAAAAATAAAAGCCAGTCATTATGTCTTTTCTTTTTTGTTTCAGTGAAACAATATTTCATTATAAAAACAAAAAAGCTAAAACCTGCAAACTGGATAAACATTGTGACTAGTAAATGTCAACTGCTATTGGCTCACTGATATAGGTTACCTAGCTGCACACTGAAGTACCGACATATTTCAAACCATCAGCACAACTAAATACTTGCATTTCAAGTGCACACCATTGTTGAACAGACGTTATTACAGCAATAACAAAGGCATGCTATAAGCATACGCTCCTGCTTTGAGAAACAGGCAGACAGTGTAGTTATGCAGTCACATCTGTAGGCTGTCCACAAAACCTCACCTTTGGATCAACATAAAAACGTCACAGATAAGCTTTTTCAAACGTCCTCAGCCTACATGCTCATCTGCATCACCCGCCTTCAGAAGCAACACGCAAACACACACACACATAACACACACTCTATACTGAGAGACGCCCACGTGCCGACACACGCACGCATGCACAGAGCAGGCTTTCACATCTACCTACTTTCTATCTTCCGTGCTCATGAGGCCATCCCCACCTACAAAGTGTCGCCACTGTGACGCTCCACACGTCACCTCAGAGTGGAAACAAGTATGCGCCTCTGTGTGTGTGTGTTTGAGTGTCTACACCGCACATAAGTAGAGAGATGAGACTCTCCTGCACGAGTGACCAGGGAGCCTCCTGACGTATGTGAAAGTGGTGTGACATGAGAAAATATCTTATAAGCTTTTTAGTTTTGATTCTTTAGTAGCGTCTTACTCTGTATACTCAAGCGTGATCATTTTTTTGTTATTTTAGGCATATAAGGTGGCAATTATATGTGCAAAACCCAAACAACACAACTGCAGTCACACATTAGCTGTGTAGGGAAAGTCGTCATCCTTAGTGGGCATGCTGAGTGCCAATAGTGAGCCAGCTAGCTCTCCTGCTCTGTCTCTGCATGTGCTGCTGGCACCGGACATTAATCTTCTCTAGGTTCACAGTCTGCTTGTGTTTAGTCAGAAGTAATCAGATTCATGCTGTGAATCTGACTTGATTTCATAGCAGTAGAAGCAACGAGCAGGGAAGAACATGACATGTGCCTTGATGTGTTTGTTTGTTTGGGTTTTTCTGAGCCAGAAGTGGGCTCACACCAGGTTGCTATGAAGAGGTAAATTAGCTAAACACATAAAGAATTGTTTTATGGACACCGTGACTGCAGCCCGTAGTAATGTTATTGTCATTGTTGAAGTTTTAACGCAAGAGTCTGTGCTAATTGACTTGCTTTTCCGCACCTTTTCGCCTGTGTGCATGACTACCATTCAAGAATTTTGTATTTATGTGGCATAATTAATACGAAGCATTTACCCGATGAGGGATTTACTGTTAGTTTAAAAAAAAAAAAACTTCATCGGCACAGTCAGATTAAAAAAAAGCAAATTCCCTATAATGCTTCTTTCTGGTCTGGTGCCAGTGTACTCTATCAACATAACAAAACATTATTACAAGAGAGCCTCTAGAAGGAGGTAGCGTAGGTTTCCTCATTGAGAATGCACGACAAATCCTGCTAGCTTTGGACGTCTAATTGGTCTCAAATACTCTGTTCTGCGGTGTGGAGCACTGCTCTGTTGTGCAGCTTTCTGTTGGGTCATCAGGTTTGCCTACTGTAGGTGGCAGAGACACGCAGTGAGTGGAGAAACTGAAGGAGGGAGAAGTGAAGATGAAACCGTCAGAATAAATATTGATGGAACATGCTGTGTTGGTCTGCGTGAGTGTTGGTGGAGTGTCGCTGACAGAGGGAGAAGCTTGGACGGACAGGTGCAGGAAAGTGGGTTGTAGGTAGCAATGGTGGTTGATGTTTGAGAGTGTGTGGTGGAAAGAAACTGGGCCCAGGGTCATAAGATACACTGGGCTGCAAGGGAGGGGGGGGG